AGGATAGCTTTTCTCCCAGGAGGCACATGGGGTATTAAACTCCCACGCTCCAGTGCATTCAGCTATTCGGCAAGATCTGACACCAAAGGTAGATTTTATTTTCTTTTTAAAAAGAGGGAAGCTGATTAGATTAATGCTTGCATCTTAAAAGTTATGAGCCTTTAAACGTTGCATTATCTAGTTTAAAGTCCAATAGATTTGGTTTAAGTTGCCATTTTGTCAGCTTGGTGGCTACTCTAGATGCATATCTGCAGCTATCTCATTTATCCATGATAGGTTAATCCTAACTATTGGCTCAAAGTTAGTAGTCAGTCGCATCTAAAGCAGGCCCACTGAATTAATGGAACTTGCACAGTTGAATTCCAAAGCCACCACTCATTCAACATGCCTACTTTAGTTGTGACATTACTGGATTTCAGCCATCCTATATTATACACAACTAGTGTCTTACATTCATGTGTATTTTTCTACCATTCATATAGGCATTTAGCCATTAGGGCTTGCTATATCTAATGTTAAGAATATGTTGGAAATTAATACAGTGGGGTCTCTACTTAAGAACTTAATCCGTATTGGAAGGTGGTTCTCAAGTTGAAAAGTTCTTATGTTGAATCTGCATTTCCCATAGGAATGCACTGAAAACCATTTAATCTGTATCTGCTCTTTCCGTCCATAGAAACTACAGTGGAACCTCTACTTAAGAACTTAATCCGTTTTGGAATGGTGTTCTTAAGTTAAAACGTTCTTAAGTTGAAGCAATATTTCCCATAGGAATGGACTGAAAACCAATTAATCCGTTCTGGCTGTTTTTTTGTTATGTAGAGGTGTGTTCGTACATTGAAGCATTAGTTCCCACAGGAACTAATGCAAAGCTGGTTAATACGTACTCTACCACTAGGGGGAGAATTTTTTTTAACCTAAGATGACCTAAGGTTAAAAAAAGAGCAGGAAATGTTACCTTATAGGAGGCACAGAAATAGTAGATAGAGCTTGCTTTATACTCACACTGAGCAGGAGGCACTTGTTCTCTTTGATTGCTCCTATGCACCCCACAAAGCCAATGATCATTACAAAAGTCCCTGTGATGATCAGCAGGTTGGCAGCTGACAGCGAAGGGAAGGAAGAAGAGAGAGTGGCAAAGTTCCCTTGAGTTACAGCTAGCCAGATGCCGACTCCAAGGATCCCGCAGCCTCCCAGCTAGAAAAAAAAAACAAACAGAAACAAGATGAGATAGTCACACAGCCAAGAAAGCTATTATGTTAATCATCACTACCCACTATCCATCATCATAATCATTAGCAGAAGCAGTAATATTCATGAAGTTCACAATAAAGCTGTGATGATTCTTATAATGATGTCTATTTCTGTGCAGTGAAAACATCCCATGCACGTGGCTCAGAACATCATGTAGAAACGATGACACACACAGTTGCAACTGACATGAAGACGGTGTCGCGGCTGACACAGTCAGTGTTTCTGAAACTGTAAGCCTTCGCATGAGGTGGGGAAATGGGGGAGGGAAGGAGCAGGAAGCACCAGAAGGGCTCTGCTCTTCCTTTCTATGGCAAGAGATTGAAATCCCTTGGACCAGCCTCGCAGAAGAAAGCCTGCCGCACAGCTGGGATTGCAAATTAAGTTCAAGGATTTCAACAGAGTGCCTTTGCTCAAACTGACATATTTCGCTTAAAGGATATGCACACGCTGAGAGAGCTAATGAATTTCAGTTATAGCTGGAGACGAAAAAGGATCCACAGAATAATTTAGGCTGTTCAGATATTGGAAATTTGGAGTGCGTCTGTGTAAGGAAAGAAGAGCTTGCAGCTCTCTCACCGTTTATCACCTTTACCTTGACCCATGGCATGTGTTTGTCTTGTGCTGCAGAGTTCCATAGACCACAGATTTCCCTCCCTAGAAATCAGAAAGATAGAAAGGGGTGTCCTAACTTTCAGTCCCAGTCAAGGGCGAGAGGGGGGTGGTGGTTCCAGAAGGACAGATGGAAATCAAAGCAGATGTGGCTATCACAGGCAGCGATTGAGCCACACTGGCAGGTGCAGAGGCTGTGTGCAAAGCTTGACAAAGTTGCTTTTCCGAACCACAACCAGTGGCTGTGCTGGCTAGGACAGTTTGGGAACTCTAGTCCAAAAAAATTATTCTCTTGAGTTCTGACTATGCATAATTACTCTGAAACTGTAACCTGGCCCCTGCAATCCTTCTCTGCTAGAACAAACAAAAAGAAGCATGGAGAAGGCTAAACTCCTTCAGAACAGTAAGCAGCATCTTGGTCTAAAAGAAATTTATTAGGGGGTAGAGGCTTGGATTTGGCTAACAGTAATAATTACTAACAGACATGTGAGATTTGTATTCATATCTCTGGTGATATGAATACTGGCACCACATGTGCCTGGGGAAACTGGACCCTCCCCACAACCGGCAGATCCACTTACTGTTTGCTGCATGGTGTGCACACTAGCTTCGTTCTCGCCATGCCAATCTGGGAAGCAGCCCAGCCAGCACTTCCCCACCTCCCCGCGCAGCCGACCTCTCAAGAGTTGAGCAGGAAGTCATTCGGCCTCCTCACCAGAGTGGTCGGCTGTGCAGGGAGATGGGGAAGTGTTGGCTGGGTTGCTTCTCAGACCGGTGCAACAAGAACGATGCTGGCTGCATGCACTGTGCAGCGAGCGGTAAGTGGACCTGCCAGTTCGGGGGTGGAGGAAGGGTCCATTTTCCCCAGGCACTTGTGGTGTCGACATGTGCATTTGTATCCCCGGGGATATGAATACTAATATCACATGTCTAATTAATAACAGTATTAGTTCTTAATTTGCACAACTGCCCAGTGCACACATGAGTATGTTTAAAATTATAAATACTGTAATACAAATCAACCTTTAAAAGATTAAAAACAGATTTATACAGCAGAATCTATGAATACTGCTAACCAGCATCAGCAATTGCAAATTAAAGCTAATTACAGGAATTTCATTGAATACGAGTAATTTTCACAAATTGTAAATATTTCCCACTTACATTGTAATAGAGAGTTCTATATCTTATGTTGCAATATAACTATCTAAATTAGATTTCAGAGGGTCCAAAAGATTAAGCTGGCCCAAAATGGGCCAGAAAAAGTATTGATAATGTCTTGTCCTAGGCACAATTGGAAAATGCTTGTTGCTATCTTTTAACACCCTAAATACCTGGGCTCAGGTTAACTGAATGACGAATTTCACCCATATTTATTTTATGTTTATTTCTGAATTTTAAGAGGTTCAAATCCAGCCAATTTTTAAAGCCGAAGGTGATGAACAGTTCAAATACAACAAAATACACTTTCAGAAGAAAGGGGGAGCTTTAGCCCAGTGGTTCTTAACCTTTGTTACTCGGATGTTTTTGAACTGCAACTCCCAGAAACCCCAGCCAGCACAGTTGGTGGTGAAGGCTTCTGGGAGTTGCAGTCCAAAACTCCTGAGTAACCCAAGGTTAAGAACCAGTGCTTTAGCCTCTAATAGAAGACCATGAGTAAAGTAGACCTTTAGGGGCAAGGAGTCCCAAAGCAAGGCCACCAGAAAGCTTTTCTTCCTCATCCCAGTTACTCTTTCACATCCCAGATGTAAAGTGCATATGGGGGGGAGCACCACAGGACCTTTGTTGATTATTGCAATAAGTGAGCCGGATCACAATGAAAAAGGCAGACTTCTCTCCCCCCCAGGTCCAAAAACTAAAGCAGCCATCTGAGTTACCATTCAGAACAAACTGGGAGCCAGTTTAGCTGTTTCAGCATTGCTCCTGACAGCCAGCTCCATTCAGCAGCCTAGCTGCTGCATGTAAACAAAGAGAAATTTCCAGATTCTCCTTAATGGCAGGCCTTATACACACAATCAGTGCAATGCAGTGGACTGGGCATGAGATAACCAAAATATGTGCCTCCAGGGCCAAATCTGTTTTCTTTAGGGATGGGAGCACTTGGTGCATTACTATAAGCTATGCAGAACCACTCCTTGCCACATTCACCATCTGGTCGTCTAGGCCTATGGCTAGATCCATGAACAGCCGTGTTCTTAGTTTAGCTGTTGAAAGCCAAAATGACATACTAATCTTAGAACTGCATGGCTGGAGGGGACCCTATGGATCAGTGAGTCCAGCCCCTGTCAAGAAGGCAGAGTGTGGAATCAAACTCCCACGCTCTGGCTCCGCAGCCAGACACCTGGTCACTACACATGATGTGGTTTGAAAATGCAGACAGCTTGAAATGCAAAAAGATGAGAGGGGAAGCCTAAAGACCCAAGAGGACACAATATGGCAGGTGATCTTGGAGTACTGTACGCAGAGCGTAGGTAGAAATGCTGTGAAAAATAAAGGTTGGTTCAAGATCAAGCACTAAAAAAAGAAGAGAAGATATGGCTTTATTATATAGAGATAATTTCACACATAGTTTTAAGTATTCAGTTATTTTCAATAAAAAGATAGCCATCATCCTTTATTCCTGGTTTGAATTTATGCTTTGTTTTGAAGCCTAAAGTGTACTTTTGCAGAGTGCAGGCAACATTTCCCTCTAGATCTTCTCTTAAACAATGGGCTGTGCCTATCTTCCCCTGGAAGGCAAACAAGTGGATGCTAGATTAAATCAAGTCTGAACTTTCTTTCGAAGCAAAAAATGACTAATCTTAGGATACTGCACTTTGAATGCAGCACAAGACTCACAGGAAAAGATAATAATGCTAGGAAAAAGATGATGGCAGAAAAGAAAGAGGATCAGATATGAGATGAATTGACTCAATGAAGGAAGTTTGCAACACGTGAGTAAGACTCTTATGGACAGGACCTTTCGGAGATCACTACTTCATAGGGTTGCCATAAACTGGAAACTTGATGTCACATAACAACGACAAAAGCATGGTTGGTAGTCCCCTACAGGCGCTCTTGCTCCATCCTCGCAAGATTTTGCTCTGAGAAAAGACTTTACAACAACATGCTATAGGGCCCCTGCTTGGAGCAAGGTGCTGTGTCTCTACACTGACCATCAGCAGTTCTCCAAGGTTTCAGCAAGGGGTGTTTCCTAGCTTTATCTCAAGTTCCCGGAGATGTACAAAATGTGTTCTCCCACTAAACTATAGCTGTTTCCCTAATTACTGACCTAAGAAAAGAGTTGCCCTTTCCTGATATTATCCTTCAAGATTTAGGAGAACGAGAAGATTAGTGAACAGCATGGCTTCTTCTCAGATGGTAGTCTCTGCTCAGGAGACTCCATGTCCACAGATAGATATCTCTGTGTTGCTCTGCTTTGAGGAAACCTACCACTTTACTTTTTGGGCTTTCTCAGAAGAGTGTGGCTTTCTGCGGTTATTTTGGCCATAGAAATAGAACCGGGTTTCATCCAATATGCTTTCTTCTGACTTAAAATATTTATATTGCATATTTTATCTGATTTGATGTATTCTCAAAGGCTTTCATGGCGAGGATCTGATGGTTGTTGTGGGTTTTTCGGGCTCTTTGACCGTGTTTTGAAGGTTGTACTTCCTGACGTTTCACCAGTCTCTGTGGCCTCTTCAGAGGACAGAAGTAGGTACTCTGTCCGTGCTCTGTGAGCACAGAGTTCCTGCTCCTGTCCTCTGAAGATGCCAGCCACAGAGACTGGCGAAACGTCAGGAAGAACAACCTTCAGAATATGGTCAGAGCCTGAAAAACCCACAACAACCATTATCTGATTTCCTTTATTTTCTGTTGACTACTTGAAAAAGCAATGTGAATCAGCCTGGAGTTCTCCCACCCCAATCTGTGTTTTTTCCCCTCTACTGCTGGGGTTTCTACTTTTGTGGAATTGAATGCATTTGCATTAGTTCCGCCAGTGTGATCATGTGAGCTGGTGTGGAGGGGTCTGGAGCCATTGCATTTAAAGTCATTCCACCTGACACCAGCATCAGTGGCAGAGGCAGGTCAGTAGATAAACTGTATGTCCTTTGAATTTTCTTCTCCCCACACCTGGTGCCTGGGGTTGTTTCTATTTTCCCTTTCTCTGTTTCTTTCTTTATTCCCCTTAATTGTAAAAGCTTGCTAATCTAGTGTTAGGATAGCTAGGTAGCTAAATGGGAGGAAAATAACAAGGACTTGACAGAGTGTGCAAATGAAGGTACCTCTGCTGTAACTGTGCCTCCAGCAAATCTGGGTAGCAGAGCAGAATTACTTTAACAAGTTGGGAA